GTTCCCAGAGCTCCTTGTTGCTTATTCTTTCTGGCCGTTTGAGCTTCAGTAACGAGCCAGCGTAAGCAGTTGTTGATGAATGTCTGTAGTTTATTGGAAATCCCTTTCGTGACGCACCAAGTCTCTGAGCCATACAGAAGCACTGACTTGACGTTGGTGTTGAAAATCCGGTTTATGTGTATTGGTGTTTGTTTATCCTGTTTCTTATTGTGTTGTGTGTAGTAGACTGTACATATGTATGTTTTTACCCAAGTGGATTTATTCAAGGATTAATTTTAACAATTATTGTTACCTATATGATGTATCTCAAATTCCTTCTTTAAAAATCTATAATATACACAACTCAATTGATCTTGGTGACTAACAGAGGAATCCAGGATGCTCATTTCGTCCTATTCTAGACTCGTCAGCTGGATGTTCCTGCACCTGGCAACAGAAGTCGAACAATTCGACCCTGTATAACAACAGGAAATTACAAGTATCATTATGTACAATTTAAGTTTTAGGTGACAACAATTTGTAATTAAAAGTTATTTTTCTGTTTTGACTACCCCTTAACAACTTAATCGTCAATATGTTCACTTGAACGAGATGAATACGCTAACTTTTCGCGTAAGTACTGATAAAATACTGCAATTTTGTATCGAACGCAGTTGATGCAAATAATATTTAGGTTCGAAGTAAATTATCCCTTGTTTTTCATCTCTTCTCCGCGTATCTCACATATTTCCTTTCTTTCTACAGAACCTCTGTCGATCGGATTCCAACTCTTATTTCCAAATGGTATTTCACTGTATACACTACTTAAACACCCCTCATCAGTAGTAAACGCCATAGTGCAAGTCATGAAAATACTTACTACACAATAGCATAAGTAGAGAGAAGAATGTTAGCGTAAATGAGCATAACCGATGATGTAGAAAACTAAGTTTTCATTTCGGCGGCTGTTGTTTCAATTAAAATGAGTTGTTACTGATCTTTAGGTAGTGTGCTTCAAAGTGGATCCCAGTTGCACATTTCTACACATCCCTTATCATTCTATAAATCTTCAACGTCTTATTCATCTTTATGTTTAATCTTCTTGTTTCATTCACCTTTTTCTCTTTATTCTCTACCACTGTCAGTGTCAGACAGTTACATCAATCAACTTAAAACCTGAAACAGAGATGCTTCAGTTCAAATCCCCATACTTCATGTCAGCATATACAGAAAGGTAGGCGAAACTGTATGACAAGGGAGAGCGTAAATAGATGAAGGTTAGTGAAAATATTCAAGGATGTAAACGTCCATACACACCTCAGAGTAGCAGTTAACAACTTCATGGACTGATGTCACGTCGTCGTTTGACCAGCCTTAGTCGTTTATCCAACCCGATCCAACTCCCAGTAATATTACACGTTGAGGTAGTGTGACTCAGTGTGCAAAACACATTTTTGAAGCATCTCAGGCGGTGAAGGTTTATAACCTCAGGGAATAACTTGCCTTCTTGGTCGAGTATGTCCTACGCCTAGCTGTCGATATAATTTATTCTCATTTAAATTTGGGGGTTCTGAGGATTTGGAGATAATTTAAGTTGGTTTTCATCATGGACTGACATCAGTTGGTGGAACATTGGGAACCTGGGAGCACTAGACAGCTGTTTCGTCCTGGTACAGGACTCGTCAGCAGTGCGCACCCATGACCCCACCGCTCTAGGGATCGAACCCGCGACCTCCGGGTTCCGTAGCCAGCACATTACCAATGAACCACTGGGTCGAAATCTAGTGATTCATATTCCCAACTTCTGTCAGTTCTCCCAGTGGCTCATTGGTAATGTGCTGTCCTCGGAACCCGAAGGTTGTGGGTTCGATCCCTAGGGCGGTGGGGTCATGGGTGCTCACTGCTGACGAGTCCTGTACCAGGACGAAACGGCTGTCCAGTGCTCCCAGGTTTCCAATGTTCTTCCAAGTGATGTCAGTGTGTAAGAAAGCCAATTTAAAATATTTTCATTTACTTGTCTCCACTTGCTGATTTCCTCTTGTCTCACTTGTGTAAAGTGTTGCACCCTGAATTGATACATAGTTGTAATCTGTCCTATATTTTTTGAACGCATCAGCATACCAATTATTGGATCGGTTACACCTTGACTATCCACTTTTCTATTACCTTTAATATTATGATTGTATGATTATATGGTCCAAAGCAATATGTGAATGCCATCATCATCATCATGATGCTCATTTGACTTTGTCAGAGATTCGCTGATGAATCTAACATTATACCCCTGTAGTATCTCAGAAATCGACTTACTTACTCCCAGAAGGGACTAACTGAGGGCACCTAACTGACTTATAATACACAAATGACATTGTTCTGTTAGGCAGACAAGATGCCAAAATGCAATCCTCTCTGAACGCCTTTAACGAAGGTTTGAATATATGCGGGATGTGGTTTATACCCGCTGAATGTAAACAGATGCTTCAGGACTAATTTATGCCAACTTCTTATTGAAGAATAAAAAGTAAAGTGGTGAAACACTTTGACCACTTCACTTATTTGAGTAGTTAAAGCAGCTCAAATAGGGTCGATCGCAGCTGAGTTAAATGTGTGGTAGTAGCCATCACACAATAACCTCTTTCTTTTGTAACCTAGAGAAATAATGTGTATTTACTTGTCAGTTGGACTGTTAATCTCTGAGGTTACGCTCAAACAATTTCATACTTTGTAACAGCTATGGAACTACTATTTTTCAACCAAGAGAAGAAGAGGTGAAGTTATAGAAAGGTTGATTCGCATTAACCCTCATAATATAGATGTGACTCATTGTAAGTTTCATAAACCCGTTCATGATTGCTGAGTTTCATTGACACTTTATTGTGCTAAAAAAAGACATTCATTGTTGTCGGTGTTATTTTAGAAGAATCATTAACTACTCTCTATATATGAAGAATAACGTCCCCAGTTAACCAAATAACCTTGAACAACCAATTACGCTGCTTAGATGCTGACCAATAGAATAACAGAGACGAGTAAAGTTCACTTTTTGAGTTTACAGTTCTTTTCACATATCGTTTATCGATATTTTGTTGCAAACAGAATGAGTGAGCGAAAAAAAATTCTTTTTCTTTTGTACACTATGAATTCCCAACCGGAAAAGGTTTCGAACACTTTGAAAATCTTTAAATGAGGGTTAAAATGTCCATTACCTCATATTTCTACAATAGAACTTCATTTCCAAGGCATAATCTATGGGTTTATAAAAAATAATCTCATTGATTCAGTCACTATTATGCTTATTAGTGCAGTCGAAAAGTTGTCAGCAAAGCTTGGAGAATAGAATCTGAGCAGAAAGTGACCCACTAAAGTGAAACTGTTAACAGCCACCTGGTCGAATAAATGCATAGAACATGGCTTAACATTTCTATTGAAACCCTAAAGATAAGTTAAGAAGCCCTTACAATAGATAGAATAGGTATACCTTGTGTGAAGGTCTTTTATAAAATACATTTGTTTTAATTGTATTACATTTCCAGTGGTTTACAATTCAGATTACTCACGTCAAGGTCATTTTGTGGGTTAGGACCACTTTTCTGTATCGCCTAGTTTTAAAGGCGAAAATTGTTATGACCAAATATCCAAAGCTTCAAAAAAAAAATACGGAACACTCATTACAAAATTACTATTTAGAAAGTGGAAAAAAGACGAATTGAACGAAGAAATATCTCTTCTTAACTAGGTCCTTATCAATCGCTGTACAATAAAATATATAGGTCCTAACAACTAATATCGAGATAGAAAGTGAGTGGATGATGTTGGTAGCCTAATTAATTAATAGTAAGTTTCATACTTGTTCACTTCATGATTGCTGAACAATTAAGTGGACCCATGAAAGGCTTTTACAGTTATGTATCGTATACCACCAAAACTTCTACTTGGTCAACATATCTGTCTACTAAATACAGCGGTAGCTATAGCTATAAGCGTTTTCTAAGACTAATCTCTGTTTCTGCAAGACGATTGTCTAGCTCTTCTCGTTCGCTTGACAATTAAAGTAAATTAACTTTTCACTTTATTTCCACCTGATAAAATTAGTCTTCACAGTTGATCCTCAGTAGTTTTATTTTACTTTTTTGGTCTCCTTAATTCACTCCCTACTCACTTAGTACTGTCAACATGTATCCATTTAAAAAAGCCTCCCATTCTCTTGTTTGAATATTGTACCAACAACCTGTTTTCAATTCAATCTTGCACTCTTTATCGACCTCTTATAATCAACTTAATTACTGTTAGTTGGATTGAGACAATCGGCCAGAAACCGTACTTGACCTGTGTTTCGTGCTCGCTGGCAGTCGTAAGCAAAGCGTATCTGTGACCTCAACAGAACTGATGTCGCGCCTGAAATTCGAAACCGCGCCACCCACTGAGCTACTTAGGCCGCGATTGACCCCCTGTAGCACTAGGTGAGGTACATTGGATCAGTTACTGGAGGGTAATCAACTACGTGTTGTCTAGACAACATGATGTAGTGATTCTCTGTAACTAATTGAGAGAAATTGAACAACTATTTCAATGGTTTGCGTGTCGATATCACCATTAATATCCCCAGATATGTTCACTTTCGAGGTATTGGCATTATTCAGGTCACTTGTATATATCGAGATCATTCTGTAGTGTATTATCATCACTGACTTGATTGATTGGGGGGTGTTGGATGTGGGTTTTTTTTTCTGGGGAATTTCATAAACATTTCGCCTTTTTTGGAGTTGGCTAACATATGAAATGCGGAGACTCGAATAACTAATATGTGTGTGTATGCGTTTGACTTTGAACTTCTTATCCTCTCACTACCGTTTGGTTGGTGACCGAACCAGATATTTTATGTCTTTATACATTTGGTGTGGACTCATAGTGCGGTACAAATAAACTCATATTTCGGTTACTCGATATGTTATACTATTCAATACATCTTCGTATAAATATGCATCAATTTCTTATCTGTTTACGGTTTCTTTAAACTATAGCTATGAGACCAAATGAAATTCAAGAACGTCTTATGCTAACACGAATGCGTGAAAAACGTCTTTGGTATGTTCAACCATCGATTGCTACCACAGGCGAAGGATTATATGAAGGTTTAACGTGGTTAAATGAAAATCATGGACCTCGGTGATTTTTAAAAAAAATTTAATTTTTGTCTTCCCCTGTTTTCAGTCTACGTCTACTACTTCTTGTGATGATTTAATTTTGAATAACTGTCAACAGATAGTAAGGATGATAAATGCTACAGCATCAGCTGAAACTCACTCCGCCCCGTCCCCCCTTTATACACACAAACAGATAAACATGTCTACTCTCCTCTTATCAATATTTAATCTCTTCTGTTTTTCAAAGTTTCCACTTTCTCATATTGTTCCACAACTTTTCATACTTGTTCAAATGTAGTCTGTTTGTATATCATTTTATTTTGTTTTTGTGTACCCTCCTTTCTTTTCTTTTAGTTCCTCTTGATTGTTTCCTAATTTTATTTTTTTTGCCTGATAAAGCAAACAAAAATGAGTATTTTCACTTCATGTGTGTATAGGGGACTTATGAAATTGGATCCTAGCGCTTTCATGCACCCTTCCCGTTTCACCTGGCACTCAACTTTCCGGTTGAATTATCTTCTTAGGTACTATGCAGAACATCTTCCCGCATGCTAATTATCTATCATATTTAAGCTTCTTCCTCAGAAATTATTTAAAATTATCGTACTAAAAAGAAATAGTACACTTTAAAGGAGATTTTTCTCTGCCTGTTACTAATCCTATCATTATTACTGTTACATTTTCATGTATACATATATGTGTTGATTGGTTATTGCTGCTTTACACTGTCCCATCTGTCTATCCGTCTCCTTTTCACGTCCGGTAATTGAACCTCGCCTCAGCGTACTGAAATCTATTATATATGCATGGATTTATTTATTAACCAATTGATTTACACGGTGATTTTTAATTCTTATACAAACTAACCAGCAGAAGAAAATCATATTCCCCTGTTTTTACTCTTCTTGTACATACTACTTACTATTATATATTTGGTGATGTTTGACTTTGCCTTTTGAAAAGACATTACGGTTAACGGTGATGATGATCACTTCTAGCGTCTATTCATGGTTCATTTTCGTTCTAATTTAGTCTGCTTTTTTCGATTGAAGTGTATCTTGTTTCGTTTCTACTCCCCCCTTGTGTGTGTGTGTGGAGAGAGAGAGAACAAGTGGACAATAGTGAAAGTTATTCGTCGTTAGAATACCAAAAAATTAGGACAATTTTTATGGAAAAAAATATTAGATATATAGAAAGTCACTTTCTTATCGTTGATTTTCTTTCTTTCTGTTTTCTCTGCTTTTTCCAGTTATTTTTTACTTCCATTTGTCACTATTTATTAAATATAGTGGATGGTTTTTCAGGTTATACTGATCCTGTTACAAGAAGAGAATCAGTAGGTTGCTATTCTACACCCTACCATTCGATTTCACCCTGTATACTGGTTGGTGTGTGTTATGAACTTTATCGATTATTTACTGGACACCTGTATATGTATATATACTCAATAATCAAATAGTATTTTCCATATTGAACTTATGGTTGTTCAATGTTAAATTGATAGTAAAGTTTGTTTTGTTTATTTTCTTCAGTTTTGTGTGTGTGTGTGCGTGTATTTTGAAAAAAGATTTTTCGGCTAATCACCTCACTTCTTCTGATTTTACATCACCATGTGATGCAAAAAAGCATACCTTGTTTTCTGGTGTGTTTTTCTTCTCTAATCTTCATTAAAAGAGAAGCTTCGTTGATTTCCTGTACTTTCAACTAGTTGTTTTAACTAGACGAGTAAGTGAATGATGAATTAAGTGAAAGGAAATCTTTTAAGAGCTGTGATCGTTTTTGTAACATCGATCAGTTGTTAACAGTTGGGTAGAATGCATATGAGATTAATGCTATTGTATGTATGTACCTGCAATTTGTCGGTTATAGGTCACTTTTTTTTCTCTTATTGTTTTGCTTTTCTGGATTTAATAAAGGTTTTCTTTCTGTATTTTATGTTTTAAAGACTTTTTAATTTTTATCGAGAAGTTTGTGGGAATTTATGAATTGATTTTAGACTGTGGGCACATATGACCTCACCCCGCCGGGGATCGAACCCAGGACCTTCAGTTTCCGTGGCCAGCACGTTACCGTTGACCGAATGTCTCGTTATCGATCGGTCCACATTTCCAACCTCTCCCAGTTCACGATGTAGCCCAACCATCACCCAATGTCATCGTTGAGTAACTGTCCTCATGTTCGACTTGGTTGACTCCACTGGTTACGACGTCTTATTGGAACTTCGAGAATCACCTCTTGAAGCTAGTCATCGATGAGCGCTAGATTAATTCTATCTGCAGATTTATCAATTGGTTTTAGGTTGGAATCCATCATGAACTGATATCAGTTGAAAGAAGATTAGGAACCTGTGAGCAGTAGACAGCTGTTTCGTCCTAGTATCAGACTCCTCAACACTGCGCATCCATGACCCTGCCAGGGGTCGTGAACTGACAAAAGTAGGAAGTATGGACCATCGGACCCCTACCCGGTGCCTCAATGGTAACGTGCTAGCCATGGGACCTGAAGCTTTTGTATTCGATCTCCGGAGGGCGGGGTCAAGGGTGCTCACTGCTGAGGAGTCCTATACTAAGACGAAACAGCTGTTCAGTGCTCCCAGATTTCCAGTGTTCCTCCAGCTGGTGTCAGTCCATGACTTTTTGATTTCTTGAGTGTTAGTAAGAGAAAAGCTTTTAATGTTCATAGTGAATCGAAGTAGAAACTGCTGTGTTGATGAATCGGTTCAAATAACTACGACTATTGGTAACAGTGTAAAAAACAGTTGATGAGTGAGACCTATAAAAGCGGCTACAAGTTATAGAAAAGGTGACTAAATGGTGTGTTTATCATCTGGCGAGAATTGGTTGGTATTAATGCTTCATTCGATAATAAGAAGCCAATGAGGTGATCACTTCATCTGTCAAAGAATTAATTTCAACCTAAATGTACCGATAGTTTACTGAATCTGTTATGTTGTATTACACCATCTGTGGCATCGGTGAGATATCGAACTGCCTAGTAATCAGCTGACAAAAGAATATTAAAGATATTAGGGATCTATAGGATTTTGACCACATACATTTATGTAACACCGCTTGCATGTGACGCAATCTGCCCAGAAGCTATCACTTCATCCTCACATGATCTCCATGTCACCCTCGCCTCACACTCCCAACTCATCGTTTCCCATTTCGCTTCCACTCGACAGCGTGATGTCCCCGATTGCCCTTCTCAGTGTATGCCCAATCCATTTCCACTTTCTTTGGTGTATTTCTTAGGCGATAGATTCTTGGTTGGTTCGTTGCCAACCAGCCACAGTTCCTTGTTGCTTATTCTTTCTGGCCATCTGATCGATCTTCAGTATCGAGTGAGTGTAGGCAGCAGCTGTTGATGAATCTCTTTAGTTTGTTGGAAATGCTTTCCGTGACGCGCCAAGTTTCTGAACCACATCGAAGCACTGACTTGACTGACGTTGGTGCTGAGAATCCGGATCGTGTTCTTTGTGCTGAGTTCTGTAGGTCTCCACACTGATTTCAGGTTAATGAAGGCCTATTTTGCTGTCTTTTTGTTCCTGGTTTTGACATCCTCATCTGTGTCTGTGCCGCCTGTAGTTGAAACGATGCTGCCTAGGTAGGTGGTGAGTGAAAGAGACAACTCCCTTCATGTCCTTCCCGTTGCTGGTGCTCGTTGATGTTGTTGGTTGGTTATCTTTATCACCTCTATCTTCTCTACGGTCACGTAAAGGAAGTTCCGTCTTCCTTTGCTGCCTCGCCTCTTCTGTCAACTTGTTGGTTTTCCCCTGTAGATCTTCGAGTTAGTGCGACAAGACATTAGATATAAATCATCATCGTCGGTGAAATCCAAATCTACTAGGGTCTTTCCATCGGTCCAGTCAGCGTATATCCATCTTCTCATGATCCAGTTGACCACAATCAGGAAGATCATCGGTGATGATTGTAGACAGCCATTTCTAACTTCCGTCTTCACTTCAAAAGCATCACTGAGCTTCCCATCGTGAATCACTTGGCATGTGGCGTGTTCATATAGATGTTGAATGAGGTTGATAAAGGTCTGTAGTGTTCCGTAGTGTTGAAGCAGTTTCCTAATTACTCGGGCTACGCTGTCAAAGGAACCTCGCCTGGTTAACTAGTTCACTAGTTACTAGCCGGTCCTAAGCCCGGGTAAAGAGGGAAGGTTGGGCATAGGGCTAGCAACCCTATCCCGTAAAACAAATCTAACCGCTAAAGAAACTTCAAAGCACAAACAAAATATAAAAAATGAAAACAAACTTATTCCCCGCTGGAATCGGAGAGGCGAAATGACGCCAGTTGGTGAAAGCCTGCCTTCAGGAAGCCAATTGGCCGATGTGTCTTCTCTCGATGAAAGCGAAAGTAAACGTGGGAACATGGAATGTCCGCACCATGTTTGAACCCAGTAAGGCAGCCCAGATTGCAAAAGAGATGAGAAGGTATCACATCGAAGTGCTTGGGATTTGCGAAAGCAGATGGAATGGGAGTGGACTCTCCAAACTGTCAACTGGAGAATCAATAATCTACTCCGATATTGTCACCCAGACGACAACCACGAGCACACTGAGGGAGTGGCTATCATGATGTCCTCAAGAGCATCGAAGGCTCTCATGCAGTGGGAACCAATCTCCTCCAGGATCATGACAGCAAGATTCAACTCAAAAGGAAGAAAGGTCACAATCATACAATGTTATGCACCTACAAATAATGCAGAGCAAGAGAAAAAGGAGGATTTCTACAGACAACTTCAATCAACACTGGACAAGACGTCAGTTGGCGATATCAAAATTCTGATGGGCGACATGAATGCCAAACTGGGAGGGGACAACACAGGAAGAGAACTAACCATGGGTCGAGAGGCACTAGGTGAAATGAATGAGAATGGAGAATTGTTTGCAGAATTCTGCGCATTCAACGATTTGGTGATTGGAGGCAGTGTGTTCAGGCACAAAGATATCCACAAAGCGACATGGATTTCACCAGATGGACACACTAAAAATCAAATCGACTTTATCTCAATCTCAAGAAAATGGAGACGCAGTCTACTTAACACAAGGTCAAGAAGAGGAGCAGATGTAGGTTCAGACCACTATCTAGTGCAAGGAACCTTCGAAATCAAGTTAAAAGCCTTCAAGGAAGCTGGTGATAGACCTCAATTCAAGTACAACACTCGGAAACTGAAGGATAAAACTACAAAGGAGATCTTCACGGCAGCCATCAAGACAAAATGGGAGATATCGAGGAACATCCCTGAAGAAACGTGTGTGGAAGAACATTGGAAGTCTTTGAAAGAGATGTGGAAAGAAACCTGCACAGCAGTATTAGGAAGGAAGAAGAAAGAAGACAAGGAATGGATCTCGACGGATACCTGGAAGTTGATAGAGCAGGGAGAGGAGGATGGTGAAGCAGAAGATAAACCAGTGCAAGGATGCTCAATGACAAGAGGAACTGAGCACAATGTATAAAACACTGGATAAAGAAGTGAAGAAGAGTGCACGCAAAGACAAAAGACACTTCTACGAAACACTGGCAAGTGAAGCAGAACAGGCTGCAGGTAAGAGAGACCTGACGACATTGTATCAAATAACCAGGTTGCTATCAGGGAAGAGACCAACACAGATGAAACCAATAAAAGATGAAGAAGGAAATTTAATTACGAAAGAAGAGAAACAGAGGAAACGATGGGCCGACCACTTCAAGAAGCTCTTGAATCGACCACCACTACCACCTGCACTTCGTCCAGAAATACCACCCACAGCCGCTGAATTACAAGTGAACATAAATCCCCCAACGAAAATGGAAGTCCTGAACGCCATAAAGCTACTGAAATGTGGGAAAGCAGCAGGACCAGATGGGATCCCGCCAGAAGCACTGAGAACAGATGCATAGACAACAGCGGACATGTTCACACCACACCATTATTGCACAAGGTGTGGAAGGAAGAGAAGGTACCTGGCTAGGATTGGAAGAAGGGTTACCTTGTCAAACTGCCGAAGAATGGAGACCTCAGTGCTTGCAAGAACTGGCGCGGAATCACTCTCCTGTCCACCCAGAGCAAGCAAAATATTAAGCCGCATCATCCTGGAGAGGCTTAAAGATGCACTGGATTCAAAACTGCGACCGGAACAGGCAGGCTTCAGGAAGTACAAATCATGTGCAGACCAAATTGCAACGCTTCGCATCATCATAGAACAGAGCATAGAATGGCAATCAGCTCTCTGCCTCAACTTCATCGACTTTGAGAAGGCCGGCATTCGACAGCGTCGACCGAGAAGTAATTTGGAAACTGCTTCAATACTACGGAATACTACAAACCTTTATCCGCCTCATTCAACAACTATATGAAGATGCCACATGCCAAGTAATTCACAATGGGAAGCTCAGTGATGCTTTTGAAGTGAAGTGAAGACAGGAGTGAAACAAGGTTGCCTACTATCCCCCATGATATTCCTGATTGTGGTGGACTGGATCATGCAGCAAACCGTGGGGAGCTGTGAGAAGAGGGGGATACTCTGGCTGGACTGCGGAAAACAACCTAGAAGATTTGCATTTCGCCAACGATGACTTGTGTCTGATGCCACACACACTTGAAGATCTGCAGGCAAAAACTAACAAGTTGACAGAAGAGGTGAGGCAGGGCAGCGGAGGAAGACGGGACTTCAAGTGAATATAGAGAAGACAGAGGTGATGAAGATACCGCACCAACAACTCCAACAACAAACTTCAGTCACCAACAACGGGAGAAACCTAGAGGAAGTAACCTCCTTCACCTATCTAGGCAGGGTAGCATCGTTTCAACTACAGGTGGCACAGACGAGGACGTCAAAGTCAGAATCGGAAAAGCAAGACAGGCGTTCATTAGCCTGAAACCAGTGTGGAGATCTAGTGCACTCAGCATGTGGAACAAGATTCGGATTTTCAACACCAA